AATTTTTCATAGCATTTCCTCATAATCCTTTTAATTTCTTTAGGGTTAGCAGTGATATCCTTTCTTTCATTCCTGATTTTGATAATTTTTGTCATCTTTTTTTTGAGACAGAGTCTTGCTCTGTCACCCCAGATAGAGTGCAGTGGTGTCATCATAGCTTGCTGCAACCTCAAACTCCTGGGCTCAAGCAACCCTCCTGCCTCAGCCTCCAGAGTAGCTGGGACTACAGGCACACACACCACCACATCCAGCTGTTTTTTTCTATTCTTAGTAGAGATGAGATCTCACTCTTGCTCAGGCTGGTTTTGAACTCCTAACTCAAGCAATCTTCCCACCTCGGCCTCCCAGAGTGCTAGGATTATAGGTGTGAGCCACTGTGCCCAGCCTCTTTTTTTTCCTTCATGAGTAACTGCAGTTTGTCAGTTTTCTTGATTGTTTTGACAAACCTTGTCTACAACAAGCTATGTGCAAGCTGCTCCAGGAACATATGCACAGTGCCCTTCCATGTACTTTCTTTGTTAAAAAATTTAGTGTACCATTCTAATTCTTCTTAATTTTCCTTTTACCATTTTGTATGTGTGTGTGTTTAGTGTTTGCTCTGGCGTTTACAAAATGCATCCTAACTTGTCACAAACTGTTTCAGATTAATATTAACTTAATTCTGTTAAAATGTAGAAATTTCACTCCAGTATAGCTCCATTCCCTCAATGGAGTGGTATGATCATAGTTCAGTTGCAGCCTTGAACTCCCGGACTCAGGCAATCTTCCTGCTTTAGCCTCCTGAGTAGCTGAGACTACAGGCGCTCATCACCGTGCCTGGATAATTTTTTTATTTTTTGCAGAGATGGGGTCTCACTATGTTGCCCATGCTGGTCTGGAACTCTTGGTCTCAAGGGATCCTCCCACCTCTGTCTCCCAAAGTGCTAAGATTACAGGTGTGAGCCACCATGCCCAGCTATTATAGGTTTATATGATATCATTTATTGAAGTTAAAAGAAGTAGTGAGACAGATATATTTATGGAATCTTTATGTAATTAACATATTTATCACATCCAGTGCTCTTCATTTCTTCCACTGGATTTGAGTCCCCATCTTAGTCTGATCTGATTATAACTTGTTTACCATAAGCTATAAGTGCCTGAAGACAGTGAGAGTTTAACATTATAGTCAAGACAGCAAAAGTAGGTCACACCTAAATAATATTCAAAAGCAGTTGTTTTATACATTTATGTAGCATAAACTTAAGTTAGTATATAGTTATAACTAACTTTAGAACTCTTTTAGGGCAAGAAGGCTTCGTCTTACTAATCATGTGTTTTGGATATAAATCGCATCAAATTTCACCAGTGAGTTGCTCCTTTTCCTAAATTCAAAAGGTCATCTTATTTATTGCCCAGTTATATCATGATGTTATTAAAACTTAGCAACAGCAGCCTTGTTTCTCAAATTGTATTAATCAACACCAATTTTACTGGCAGATAATAATAAGACTTGCTGAGTAGCTTGGCTAAATAACTAGATAGGCAAATTAACCCTTTTTTCTTCCTGTGTGACTCAGACGCAGTACCTCAAAAAAAGCCACATCTGAGAATAATGCTGCTGTGAACGTGAGTGTACAACTGCCTTTTTGAAACCTTGCTTTCAGTTCTTTGGGTCTATACCTAGAAGGAAAATGGCTGGTCCATATGTTAATTTGCTTTTAGTTTTTTGAGGAATTGCCATAGTGTTTTCCATAGTGGCTGTACCATTTTATATTCTCATCAGTAGTGTACAACATTCCAATCTTTTCACATCCTTGCCAACACTTGTTATTTTTGTTTTATTTATTTTTATAGTAGCCATGCTAATGAGTGTGAGACGTTATCTCATTGTGGTTTTTATTTGCATTTCCCTAATGATTAGTGATGTTCAGCATCTTTTTATTGTGCTCATTGGCCATTTGTATATCTTCTTTGGAGAGGTGTCTATTCAAGTTTTAC